GTGAAAGATTGTGTATTGTTGTGTTGAAACCAAAGTTGATTATAATGTGGTGATGTTACACATATTTGTACTACAAACTTTTATAACGTAAAACAATTGATCATATTTATGCGTTGTGATCACGGGGATATTCTTGCATGCAACGCCACCGGTTACTCCTTTATTAGTATACAAATATAAAAATCCTCGTCCCACTTCGCGACATCGATAAGTCTACTTTACCGGTGCACTATTATTGGAATAGCTCTGCTTGGATGCAAGCATCCATATTTAATCACTATATAAGACAATTCGATAACCAAATGAAACGTGCTGGCTGTAGACAACTCCTCTACACATACTCTCGAAGAAAACTTTAAACCGTCAAATATTAGACTTCATTACCTTCCTCCAAACACTACTGCACACCTCCAACCTTGTGATGCGGGGATCATTTGGAGTTTTAAGGCAAGTTTTGTGCGGGGTTGTGCAACAATTGTTATACATACTGAGTACTAACAATAATAAAAAAATAGGCGCACTATAGAAAAGTGTTCTGTGAAGATCGTATAGACGCTTTTGACGCTATGGATTCCGATGAGCTCCCTAAACCAATAAACATCAAAGATGCGATTAATTTCGCAAGTATTGCTTGGCAAAATGTAACTAGAGAGACAGTACGCAATTGTTGGATAAAACTGGTATTCTACCAGACGGCTTCGTTGATGAATATTTGACTGACGATTCTGAACTGGTTGATGCTATTGGAGAAATTCAAGATCTTATTGGACGATTGCCTCTTGACCAACAAATGGATGCAGAAGAGTATGTGGTAATTGATGACAATGTAGCTGCTCGTGAGATGCCAACAGATGAGAAATCGTTTCAATCGTAAAGAATTGTGAGTCAAATGAATCGATTTGGAGACAGAACCGGTATCCTATGCACAAGCCATTACGTTTATTGATGGCGATTTTACTGTTGATAATTCTTTCGTCCGAGGTTTGAGTAAATTAAAAAAAGAAATTGGTTTCAAGAGAAATGCTTCGAGAAAAAGGAGCGATTTGGATATGTTGTTCACAAACATTAAGTATCGCATGACTAATCAATATGAGAAGACATTCAACAATTTACTGAGCATTGAACCAAATGTTGTATGTCCATTTGGAATTTAGGAATTTATGTCCATTCCGAATGAACATGTATGTCAGATTGGAATCATAAAGACAATCAGGTAACAACATTATAAATTTATTTTATTAACATTACAATATTAACTCTACTGCATATAAACATGTTATGATACACAGAACGATGTACCTAATTAACATTACTGCATTGATGATTA